GAATTTAGCCATTAGTAAACAATTGAAACAGTATTAAAGGAAGGCAATTTAACTTACACTTTCTTGGGTTCCAAATTTTCATTGTTAAAGCTCCTTTAAAAATTGTTGGATCATTTTCTTTTAGAGGGTAGCCTCACTTGTTATGATTCTCCCTTCCACAAATTTTACAAGTCATGACCTTACCATATTTGGACATTGTTCTTTGGTTTCTCCCATTTTTAACCTTCTTCGGTTCATGTTTGTCTTTTCTTTTATTTTTCTTGGGTCGTCCTACTAATGACTTCATATCTAGTGGCAATAAAGTTTTAGTGTTGTATTTTTTCTAAGCTTCTTCACCTCTTAAGCACCCTAATGCTATGCCATATGCTACCAAATATGCTTACTTATTGTAATAATCATTGACAAAGTATTCATGATTCCAGCCATTAAATTTGCAACTGCACAATAAATGCGAACATGGAGCTCCCAAGGTTTGCTAGCCCCTATAAGCACATGTTTTGTCTTTGAGATCAATCACATGAGTATAAGTTGTCAATTCATCAATCACCTTACACTATGTGCCTCCATTCCAAGTTTGTGTACAGTGGCATGTAAGCTTTAGGTTGACCTTAATTTTGTCCCTAATCATTGAAGCAATATCCCCATTTGATTTTTCAACACTTTCATGTTTTTCCTTAAACCCCATAGTGCATTGATCTATAATGGTATTTTACACGGTTTTTGGTGCCTAACACCTAGCTTGCAAAATCCATGAGTTAATTGTTTCAACCATATTGTTGTCAATTGCATCACACCTTGAATGACAATCAATAAAGGCCTTGCATTATTTTGTTCTATCTAATGTCATTAGATATTGATAACCTTCCTCTATTTTACCTCTCATGACCTCCATTTGTTCTTCCCATGCCTCTAAAAATTATGCCTGAGCACAATTCCAAACCTAAATCTTGTAATCATCACCCTTGTTTATCTTTACAAAGTTGTAGTAAATATGTCGAGCACACCACCTGTGCTTTGCGACTGGAAATACACGCTGCGCAAATGCATTAATTACCTATACGAAAAAATATGAAAAAGTAATTTTGATTAGTCATAAAGCCAAACAATCATATGCAATTTGAGATAAAAATATGAAAATTAATAACTCCAACCAACCTTCTGTTGATCTAACATAATGGTGAAATTTTCAACAGAATCAACCTCTAAATCATCTTTTAAGTTCTTAAAGAACCACTCTTAAAAAGCAGTACTTTCTCCTCCTATTATGGCCTATGCAACAAGGTATATTTGTTCATTTCCATCCCTCCCAATAGCACACATTAGTACTCGCTTGCAAACACCTTTAAGAAAGCATGCATCAACACAAACATATGGCCTGCATCCTCTTTTTTAGCCATCCTTGAGTACTTTTAAGCATATATAGAACCTCTTGAACTTAGGTTAATCCATGGCTATTTTAGTTGGATTCCCAAGGTTGATAGAAAGTAAATAGCAAGCATAGCCAACCATTAAACCATATTCATTCCTAAAATTGCTTTCCAACTCCTAGATAATCATCCTTTTTGCCTTGCACATTTGTCAAAACTTGCATTAACCCTTAACTCCCTATAAGTTGTCTTCATCATATCTAACACGTTGATGAAAGTTGTATTTCTTACCCTTTCTCTCTAGTACTTGGCAATATGTAATTGTGTAAGCATGCAAATGTCACTAGTTTTAATACACCTATGTTGTTTATGATAAGTTTTCACTTGAAAGGAATCTGTTTGTGCATCTAGTGAAGCAAATATTTTCCAACCACAAAATCGCCTAGCACACTTGTACTTCTGCTTTCTAAGTTCATCTTTAATAGTGAGCAATTTACATTTTTTAGATATGGAATACTTCCTAATTGCTCCCCTAAACTGAATATAACTTACGAATCTCATGCCTACGTCAAACCAAAGAACATCCCAATTAGGATTGTAGTATATGTTTGTGATTCCCATGCTTGGTAGATTTGCAGCAACATAGAACACATCCTCCTTAAATGATGAAAATGTCCTCAATTGCCAGGTCATCACTGTTATAACAATCTGTGTCATTACTAGTTTCACCATCATTAGAATCATCTACTAGTAATTCCTTAACACTTCTAATAGGATCATCTTTTTTTGGTTTAGTAAGGGTCAAGTCATGTCCCTTGAATGCCTAGTTGGAACAAAAATATCCTTATATTTTTTTACTCATAGTTGCCTTTTCTTCCTTCTTTTTAAGCTCTTTTGTTATTTTCACCTTTTTCCTTTTCTTGAGTTTTTTGGTTGAACTAGGACCAGCATCACCACTAGGTTGTTGCTATTACTATGTGTTGATCTTCTTTTTCACTAGTAATTTAGACATCCTTGATGAACTAGCCTCTTGTTGCTTAGCATCAACATTTTCATATGAGTTTCTGAAAGATCTAGCTTGATTATAAACTATTTGCCTCTCTTCATTATCATTATCATTATCACTACCAACAAAACTAATTTTCCATTCATTTGAATCATCATCCAATTCATTAAAAAACAAATTATCTTCAATAGCACCAACATTCTCTTATAAGCCCAAATGGTCTTGAGTAATGGTGCCCAAATCTTCTTCATTTTGTTCACCAAAAACAACATTTTGTTACACAGATGAGGTTGGAACAATGTCATCATGATTAACGTAAACAATTGCCTCATCATGCTTTTTAAGAATTTTTCTAATATCAACAATGCTACTATGACTTGAAATGGGCTTCATATCACTCAAATTGAACCTTGGCCTCTTGAAATATACTTGACATAGCTCAATTCCTTTATAGCCTAACCCATTTATGAAACCCATGATTTGTGTAATGGATAATGTCATCTCATGGACACCAAATGCCACCCATTCGCTACCAACATAATCACCAAGTGGCCCATCATCAAAACGACTATTGTGAAAAAGTGCTAACACACCTATGTACTCGGCATCAATTATGTATGTGAATAACACAAAAAGGGTTAAAACCCTAATTTGGTTCCTCTACTTTGGTAAAAAACCCATTTTAGTCCCTCTACTTAAAAAAACTCCTTTTTGATCTCTAAAATTTGGAATTCAACTCATTTTTAGTCCTTCTGTTAAGTTTTGACATTAAATGATAGAAGTTTTGAAGGAGAGGAACTAAAAATGAAAAAGTGTTAACACACCTATGTACTCGACATCAATTATGTTTGTGAATAAAGACAAAAAAAAGGTTAAAGCTCTAATTTGGTCTATCTACTTTGGTAAAAAGCCCATTTTAGTCCCTTTACTTAAAAAAACCCCTTCTTAGTCTCTAAAATTTGAAATTTGGCTCATTTTTAGTTCTTCTGTTAAGTTTTGACATTAAATGATAAAAGTTTTGAAGGAGAGGGACTAAAAAGAGGTTTTTTCTAAAGTAGAAAGACTAAATCAAAGCTATTTTTAGCCCCTTTTTGGTCCCTCTACTTTGAAATTTCTGTCATCTAATGTGCACGTATACAAAATTTAATGAAGGGATTAAAAAGGGGTCGGATTTCAAACTTGAGGGACTAAAAAGGGGGTTTTTTTTAAGTAGAAGGACTAAAAAGGGACTTTTTTAAATAGAAGGACTAAAAAAGAGCTTTTTATCAAAGTAGAAGGACCAAAATGTGGATTTAACCAAAAAAATCAACCAAAATTTAGAATCTAGACCATATGTGGGGCATTATAACCCTAAATTTAAATATTATTGAATACACACAACAACCAAATAGAACTTCATTAGTGTTTAAAAATCAAAAGTGAAAGTGACAAAAAGTAAAAATACCCTAACTTTTTAAGGTTAGGGCTTCCTTCTATGAAAATAAGCTCAAATTGAGAACGAACTATGGAAAAATACCTCATAAACCATAGAGACAAGCCTTTTTGAGATTCTTCCCCTTTGAGATTCTCCAAATCTTCCAAATCTTGCTACACTTGATAGAGAATCTACTCTCTTTGTCTTTCACCTTCTTCACTTCTCTATCTTTTGCTTTACTTCATATATCAGTTAAATCCATGATTTTACCCTTGTGAATTGAAGGGAAATGAAATGGTTAACCTAGGTGAAATAAATTGGTCCACATTAGAGCCCAGTTGGTGCCCAATCTATGCCACCTCATTAGGCTTTAACAAGCAATTGAAGGGTTTAACATTTGAATGACGTCAATTTAACTAAAAGGATTGTTATGCAAATTTAGTGAAGTAAAGGAGCTGATTTTCTATGGTTGAAAGTATATGAGCTGACTTGCGACAACATTGTAAGTACAAGGGCTGAATTTGCACCTTCTCCCTATTCAGAAGTGAGAAAGTTCTTGTTGCTGGAAAGTGAAACAAGAAAAGAGAGAGAGAGAGAGAGAAAGAGAGAAATTTTCCAGCTTTAAGGAATCATTTTTTAACTGTCCTTCAACCCTCTCAAGTATAATTTTTTATTAAATATGGAAAATGAACCATTTAGATCGAAAACTTTACTACAAAAGTTACTAATAATTTTATTACAAAAGTTTTTAGAGATGTTAGTCTCCTACCCAATACAAAAGGGTTATTCTCTTCATTTTAAAATAATAATAAATAATTTTTGTTTTTATCTTAAAATTAAGGATTTAGAAATAATTTTTATTTTTAACTATTTTATCTTCAAAAATTAAAATAAAACTAATAAACTTATTTTATGATAGTATGAATAATTAAAATTAAAAAACAATTATAAGGTTAAAGTAAGAAAAAAAGTATAACTCTCTCAAAATATACAAAAATGACTACAGTATTATATTTTAAGATAAATTTTAAATAAAAAATATTTTTTATTTTAAAATGGAGGGAGTAAGAATTTTTAAAGTACATGAAGGTAAAGGAACCAGAGAGTAGATGAAATTTGAAGGCAATTCCAAAATGTAAATGTTGAGAATTTACTGTCATGCAAAGCTTTTACACCACTTGTTAGGATTCTCTTCCACCTCTATTACCATTCGCTCAGAAATTCAAATTTATACCATCCCTATGTTGGGATTTTAAGGCATCCAAGAAAATGTGCAAGTAGAATGAATAATAAAGCCAAATGGATAAAAGAGAAGAAAACTAATGTTCAAAGCTGCATTGAGCAAAATAAATTAGTAGTAGAAAGAATGTTGACTCCCAGGGATTCCTTGAAAGGAAAAAACCAATGCTCAAAGCTGCATTGTCAACAAACTGTATTTCTATAGCTCAAGCAGCTTATCATTTAGCAGCAGAGCATTTGTATCCCCAAAACCATAGAAGATAGGCCATTCAAGTTCAATATGAACAACCAGTTTGCATAAGCCATTGGCTTGGCAGCAGGATGAGGCTGTCATTCCACAAAGAAATGGATATCATAACAGAGAAAAACACTATAATCTCATCCACTGTTTTGAAATGCAATTTGAAAGTATACAAGGGATTTCACAATACAAAGTTACTTTGGTTTCAAATTGCGAGCTTCAAGACGAATTGAAGCACCTGATTCTATTTTTCCAATAAGATTTGATATAAGAAAGTGTGTGAGTGATCAGCTGCATCACCTGATTCTATATTTTCACCTTTTCATTCCTTTCAGACTTCAAACCAAAAATTCGGAGGACACAGGACTTGTGATAATTCTGCTGTAATCTTTGAAGCAATAAACCTGAATATGTTCACACAAATAACAAAGCAGATAATAATTTAGTGAAAAAAATCCATTAACATTAACAAAATTGTAGATCTTCTACGCTACTTGAACAGGGTATGACTCCTGGGTGTGCTGCATGAAACAGATTTTTTTTTTTTTTTTTGAGAATATCGAGAGTGGGTCCAACAAATGTATAACTCTTAAAAAAAGGTAGCACCACACCTCTCCTCGTCCCTCTCTCCAAATTCCGAACGTCATCATTTCAAACTTCAGTGGCAATCAATTATGCATAAACTCAGAATTTTCAGATCAGCGTTATTTCCTCAATTCTACTGTATGGAAAAATAACAAATTCCATGTGAACATGCTTGCATAGAGTTGAAAATTGGGATTGGAGAAGGAAAAAGAAAGATCATTACATATTGCCAACGTCAAGAAAAACTTTTAGCTAGTGAGGATATTATTTTTATGACCAAGAAAGGTAGAAAAACCCAGGAAAAGAGAGATAAACAAGGGAACTGGATAAGCCCCCACATTTCTTTGCTGTAACCAATTTCTTTATTAGTTTTCTTTTGGCAAATCAACTCATTTACTTATAGACATGTGTCCATTCAAATTGGCTGGAACATTCTGAAGCTGACAATTAGTGAACCATTATACAAGTAAAATGGAGTAAGGTGATGATAAAGTTAATGCATGATGAAACTTACATTAAGAGAAATGAGGGAAAGCAAATGCCCTTTTTCTCTCGGATAGCACACTTTGTAGCTTTATGCCTTTGTTTAGTCCATTTTCTCTCTCAAAAAACATTCACCTTTCAGATTCTTTTAGTAAAGCAAGCAAATTTGTTCAACAAAGGTACAACTCAAAAAGAGGTGAAAAGAATGGAAGTTATTATCATATCGCTCAATATTTGAAGCTCAAATAACCTGTATTTGAAAATTTTTGAAGTTTATTTTTAACCGAATATAAGGTAAGAAATATTCAAGAAAGTGGAAACTTGTCAAAGAAATAAAAAAATGAAGGAGAAACTAAAACTTAAAGCGCATATCTTATATGATACTTTTGCATCTCTATGAAGTACGATGGAGTAAAAAAAAAAATAAATTGCCGATCCACATCCTTGCCCAGGCAACACAATTCAATACAATGAAGTTAAATTGTGAGCCACTACCAGTCTTAGTACAGTAAAATCAAATCTATCATTAAGAGAATTGAAAGAAAGTCTTTAACAGCTCAACTACTTTTTTTGATGCGCCGAATCTGCTGATTTAATGCATCCCTTGTTATCCACAAGAATGTTTACCCCTAAGATAAATAGCAGTATCAGATGCACAGTGCATGCATGTGCAGATTGTGCATTAAGAGAGTATTCTACAAAAAAAAAAAATGTCCATATGCGCAATTCCGTTCTTATGAAGATATTCGAATCCCAATAAAAGTTGTTTTGTATACATCTTTACAACCTGTTTTTGAGAATAAATATGCAAAACAACTTAAGCTTCAAGAGCCAAAAACCTCAAATTAAAATTTTAAGACCAACAATCACTTACAGACTTAGGGAAGGTTCCAAATTTTCCAAGAAGCAAAGAAATAGAAACACCAGGGACAAATTCTAATAAAATATTCAATGAATCATCTTCTCTAACAGTTCCCAAATATCTCTAGTGAACCAACAACAAATAAAAAGGTGAAAAGAAAAATAAGATCATAATTTACAAAACACAAGACAGACTTTCAAATGAAAATACAAATTCATACTCACAAATATGTTTGGATGTGAAAGATTCTTCAGTAGCTTCAGTTCATCTTCTAGCTCTCTAATGTGGGCCTATTCCAATAAACAAGACAAATCAACTCATACTCCCTTTGTTTCAAATCATCTGTTCCTATAACTAAATCTTAACTAACTTTACATGTAACTTTAGGTAATAACTTTTACATAGTATATGAATGAAAATTCAAAATTTTTTTTGATCAAATAAATAAAACTGCTCAACCAGAACTATCTATTGATACAAAAAAAAAAAAAAAAATTTCACTTATCATTTATATGTTATACAAAAGCATCACCTGCAGTTAGGTGCAAAGATGGTTGAGAGTTAGTTATACAGACAGATAATTTGAGACGAAGGGAGTATCATCATCAATAATAGTTTCATATGAATCATATCCACCGAGGAGAGATGAAATAAATTCATGAGCATAGGCCAGCTATGCAGCTAACTCTACATCTTCCTCCTTAGTTTCTCTAGGATAACCATACTAATATTTGACTTGATATCCATATTAAACAGATGCGGATCCTGGCTGAAACTAAGAACTAAAATATAGTTGCACGGATCAAGCAACATTAGAAATTATGTGATGTGTACCGGTCCAACAAAGCCAATCTTTTCTCTTAGCCATTTGATGTCCTACACTTTTAGCAGAAACCATCAATGTGCATCAGCAGTTTAAAAATGCAGCTCAAGCCTTTCAGGAAAAAAAAAAAAAAAGCAGCTCAAAAGGCAAATAGCATCTGCAGCAGATTCTATGCAGTTTTTCATATGTAAAATTCTATGCATTCATAATTCCAGATGCATCCTTCTAATCAATAAATTGTAATAAGGAAAGGACTCACAAGAAAGGGTGGTTCTACATGCTTACCTGACCATTAATTGGCTCATAAAAACATAGAATGAGATTTGCTAATGTGTTTTTTCCTTAACTACCAGATCAAACATTTCAGGCCATGTGATGAAGAATGCAAACACTAATCTTCTGGTCCATTCACTTCACTAACACCCAAATTGAACCAGACAACAGAAAAATTGAATCAGATTCACGGAAATCATTATGTACAGAACACTAAATCAAGTTGAAATCAAACAGCCCTCTTCCATGGGCTCACCTCCAAGTTACAAAATCAGCATTACAAAGGAAAATAAAATAAAACTAAATAAAAGGCTGGATACCATTTCTAGCTTACCAAGGACAGCAAGATGGAATAGCAGACATCAGCAGGAGCACCTAACTACAAAACTCTGGTTCTTGATCTGGCCCAAACTGGGTGCAGAGGCTAGAAGTCCTGGCAAACACAATTGGAACTAGTTAATTGGAAACCCACATCACAGGAAGCAAAAGATTACAACCTTGAATCCCAACGAGCACAAACTTCGAATGGAGAAGACATGGAAAAAACATCTTAAACTTCTCAAAGTGCACTAATTGACTTCTTTAAGCTTCTTTTCCTGTTTCCTGTTGCCAGAGGGACAACAGTTGTGGCCACTTTCACAAATGCTTTCTCACCTACACTCAATTTTTTTAGCACTTTTTCATTTCACATTGAAGGGAGCATGAAAATTCACACAAAGGAACTTATCGGTCTTTATTTACAAGCATATACAGGTATGGGATATAGGGGAGAAAGGCAGATATCGTAGAAAAAGCTGAGATAAGCTCATGGTAGACTGGAATTTTATTAGAATTGACTTCTAATGAGAAACACTAACTCTTTCAAAGAAATTTCATACCAAAGAAGATGCAAACCCATCTCATAGTTTCATGAAGTTTAAGATATAAAGGATTAAATAATTATACTTTCCAAATAACAAAGTAAAAATATTTCACATCTTATCGAAACAGTGGTTTGAGAGAACTTCAGATTAAGCAAATATCTTAAGAAAGAAAATCTTCAGTCCTGTTAAAAGAAAAATAAACAAGCAAATAGATACATTTCACAGAATGAAACAGCCTTTGCCAACTGAAAATAAAAATATTCAGCCTCCCCTGGAAATGCCAGCTAATTAGCCATCCTTAGCATTGTATTTGAAAACCCTGTTGCCCCTGCTCAAAAAGTCTTGATGCATATGCTTGCAGATTTGTCCATGGCAAGTGAAAACAGATGTAATTCTTGGAATAATTACTGGAGACTCAGTTTTTGGTAAAAAAATAGAATACATACAATGAAAACAACCACAGACACAGACATAGTCTCCTCCCACACAACCTTCCATGGCTGATTGGCATTTTTACTGGCTTGTTAATAATCAAACCCCCCGTCCTGCAGGTTCTAATAAGCAAGGATAGTCAGTAACAACAAAAACTAAGAGAAAACTAGTAATATTATTTTTCACTTCTTAAACAAAAATTGGCAATAACAATTCCAGTTTCAAGTATTTTTTATAATTTTATTTTACAAGGTAATGACTAGGAGATAAGGAATAACAATCACATTTAAAGAAACATAGAACAAGAAGTCAGCAACTCAGAAAAAACCCACACAAAATGATAGGAAACCGTACAAATACAAAATTTAAGGATGAATGGCATCAAACACATCATAAAATTTTTATCATTTTCATAAGCATACCCAGCCAATAGCATAGGCATTCAAAACTTAATATCAACCACTTACAACCAGAAGATTAACCATGTCAAGGAAACAGTTGCTATCCATAAGATCATATAAACCCCCTCATTTCCTTCATTACTAAGAAAATAAATAAATAGAAGTATCCCTCATTTTGCTTGGAAGCGTGATCCCAAAAATTTCTTGAGAGAGAATCCTCTGAGGCGCGATGATAGAAACTCTTTAAGAGAAAATTCATGCCTTGTTTCTTCAAGTCCAATCGTTGTTTTATCTGGAATTGCATGTGTACTACTGCTGCTATCTTTTTCTGGTTGAGACCAACATTCATCCTTCACCTGCTTATCTTGCTCCTGAGCAAAATGTTTATTGAACTGCAAAACCTTATGATGAGCCTTTATCCTTTTGGGGCAGAAGCCAGATATATGAAGGTTTTCCAACTTTCTCACACGTGAAAGTGCAACATAAACCATGCCACAGCCAAAAGCTCTTGAGAGATCAGTGTGAATATTGTCAAGAGTCAAACCCTGGCATTTGTGAATGCTTATAGCCCATGCCAGAACAAGGGGTAATTGCTCTCTTGAAGCAAGAAGTGAACCTCCTTCCATTATAGACCATGTTTCTGGCTCGATTAATATTTCTTTTCCAGAATCAAATTTGACAACAGGCAAAACATTATCACGAGCTAGGTGAGCAGCACCATCTGCAACTTCGAATCTGAGGACAGTACCTGTGGAACCATTCACAAGGCCATGCCAAACATTCAAATTTTTAATTAGCATCACTCTAGCACCTTCACACAGTACAAGTTTGTCAGAAGCCAAGCCCTTTGAGAGTTGCCTCTTCAAAGCATCATTTCCTGTATCAGAAGCCCTATATACAGTCTTTCGCTTGGACAAGGCTTTGATTTTCTCCTCATTCGCTCTGTTCACATCATCAATCCTTGGGTAGAGCTGTATTGCTGAAGGATCGGGCTGAATGACTGAACATGATTTTTCTAGAAGCTCTAAGTCATCAGGATCTAATTGACCTTTCCTAATATCCTGAAGTAATTTAATCAGCCTAGGTTCTGATTGCCTAAACACCTCAGTAAGCTCAATCTGTACATCAAAGCTAGAGTCCCAACAATCAGACTCAAACGCAAATTCTTTGCCTGATGAATTCTGTGGATTAATGGGAGGTAACTGAAAAAAGTCACCACTTGCAACAAGCTTTAATCCACCCCAGACCTTATCACATTGACGAACCTTTCTTGAAATGTATTCAAGATTCTCAAAAAAGTCTGCATCCACCATACTGATTTCATCAATAACCAACACCTCTGCCATGATCCATCTTCTATAAGCTCTTCTATCCCCAAGAATCCAATCTAGCATAATTTCACGATCCCTTGTAGTATATCCGATGCCTGCAAATGAGTGAAGCGTTTGGCCTTTAAGGGCACACGCAGCAACCCCAGTAGGTGCCGTAACAAAAACAGCATTCTTACCATGTTGCTTTCTCAACCTATGTATAACGTTCTTAAGCAACACTGATTTTCCAGTCCCCGCAGAACCCGTAATGAATACAGAGCAGCCACGAGAAATGCAATCCAAAACCTTTTTCTGCTCATCAGTCCATTTAATTCTGGGTATGGGGTTTCGAGGATACTTCTTCTTGTACTTTGCTTTACTCTTATAACCCTTTTCAAAGACCTTACTCCTACCGTTGGTGCTATAATTTCTGCATACAGCTATTGCAGTGACAAGATATCTCATACCCATGAAACCCATCTCTTGTTGGTCCTAAATATGATTTCTTACCCTAGATTTTTCATTTCTCAAAAGAAATGGTGATCAAACTGAAAGAAAAAAACACGAATTCAGCACTAATCACAGTAAGGGGGAAATGAATAATCAGGAGAAAGAAAGAAGTAAATTTCTTACCGAACTGGTTAGTCTCTTGCTTATCAATCTTTACCCAAAATTGTTTTGTGCCAAAGGAGGAGAAAGAAGATTGGAGTTGTTTTGGAACCGAACTGGCACGCAGCGGGGGTTCCGGCTTAGAGTGTGGGGAGTGGGGGGCAGCCAACAAGAAAACGGTTTCTAAGAACATTTAGTGTACGTTTGGTGTAGCTGTAACTTTTAATTGAAGTAATTTTTATAAAAGTTTATTGTGAAAATCTTTTTCTTAAATAGTAAAAAGTGTTTGGTAAAATTTTTTATTGAGGAATTTTTAAAATGTAAAGTTGTTTGGTAAATTTTTTTATAAAAGGTTTTTTGATTTTAAAATGATTGAAAAAGACATTTTGTTTAAAAAAATATTGTTTTTTTTAATATTTTTATAGAGTTTTAATTTCATTATGTTAAAGTTGATGATTATAAATAAAATTTCTATATTTATAAAATATAAATGCTACTAATAT